ATATTCCTAAAGTAAATTATTTGCCAAACTGAAAAACAAAGCAGGGGGAGTGGTACTTAAAATATGAAAATAGAGGCAGAAACTTTGTCCTATGGTTTGCACATGCCAAGTGTTATGTATGCTTAGGGTATTACATAGACTAGTAGCAACGTTAAAATAGCTGATAACACACATGGTTTCCAAGGGTGGTATAATAAATTAAGTCTGGTTTTGACCCATGGGGATTCTTTGATGCCTAATAAAAGCTGGCTAGAAGAACTAATAATGTCTCACTCTACCCATGAATGTAATTGTATTTGGAATTATCTAGTGGGTTCAGGAACAGGTAAATGGGGCTGAAGAGACAGGCAGGTGCATGCACACACATGAACACACACTCCACCATTGCATGAATCTTACTTGTTTAAGAAATGAGGCTAAAAATATCCTTGAATATGAATCCAGGCCAAGCATGGTGTTGACTGTAAAGTCTAGCATGATTTTATTGACCTAATGTAGATTTCTGTTTTTGAGAACGACTCAGGAGACACTGAAGGCAGAACTTTCTGACAAGGATTTTACTGCCTTGAACTATTTCCAGAACATTTTTTTCAAAAGTTCTAAGACACCAAGTTGGGCCAATGAAGGCTTAAAGGCATAATGTAGCTGAATTTTCCCTTGAAGCTCAAGGGTGTTATTTGAAGAAAAAAAATCTTATCCACATTAATTGTTTTTGAACTTTTTATTTGAGATAGTCTTAGGAAACAAGCTTTCTGGAAACAAGCTTTCTTGAAACAAGCCTTTTCATAGAGTTGAATTGATGTAAAAGAAATGTTAATGATGACATGATTTGTGGCTACCACACTCGTATAGGAAACTATGGCACCAACAACTGAATTACATTATGTGGTAGCTGTAAATATTTTGGTGCTGTAATTCTTTCAGAACTTGTCTTTAGGATTCCAAAATGATTGTGTGCATGTGAGATTCACTGGTACAAAGCATTATTCAGCACTTGGGAGTCTAATTTATACTTATTTCACCAGTGTCCTTAACATACCTTTTTCTTAAGCCTTGTTTGCACAAGTAATTTCAAGTAGAGTAGCATTTTTGCTTCAGTGCCTGATGTAGTCATGGGGCATCTGAATAAGCTGTAAGTTGTGGTTGTACAGTTCTCCATGGATTTTTTATCTGGTATGTCTTCTTTGCAGTAAAGAACACAAAGTAGTGCTTCTAAAAGTTCCTCACAACCACTTGATCCTCTAAAAGATGAGATACTCGAAGAACATGCTGGCTGGTTTTAGTGTTTTGCTGCACCTCACCCACAGTTTGTTTTTAATCATTCTCATGAATGATTTACTGTTCTCTTTCTATCATGTTACTTTTTCATTGTTGCCTCCAGCAGGCAAAAAGCTTTCAGAGGGTTCTTTAGGGCTTAATGTATTGTTTGTCCTAGATGTTTGGCATGACTTATTCAGAAATGCGTAATAAATACACAGCTCCTCTCGTTTCTGATTGTTTGCACATTTGACAGATTAATGGATGACCAGGTGATGGATGAATTCTCTGTTCTAGACGAAGTTAGGGAGGGTGTGTGGGTGCAGGTGGGATCTAGAAGGTCATATGTAAATGTATGTGAGCTCATTAAAGTCCATGGAGATGCAGTATTTTATACCAGTGGATAATGTGCCAGTTTAACTCAGAGACTTTACTTCTGAGGCACCTTTCCTGGTAGTGGCTCTGTGCACTTATCCCTGATTATGGCCATATAGATATAATAGTTCTGTCTTCAAAGATAGCTTATAAATAGTTATTTTTAATTTGCAGATATCCAATTCTTTTGATGAGTTGCATCTACTGTGGCTAAAGAAAGCTCTTATTTTCCCTGCTTGCTTTTTTTTTTCCTGGTGCACTGAGACAAGGAATGCTGTGACAAGGGGTTTTGATATTTATTCTGTCTGCTGTGAGGGTAAGTCTCTGTGTGAGTCTATGTGCTCTGAAGGATGCTTACTAGCACAAGCTAGAAAAAAACTTCTTTTTATTTTATTGATAGTGAATTGTGAATCTCAGTGCCACTGCTGCTCCCACAGAGACTTACAGTAAACAGCTGAGTCACAGAGATGAAGCCTGAAATTCCTCCTCTCCTAGATGTGAGGGAGTCCCACTGCTTCCTCTGCAGAGAGTCCTGAGCCACTGCATTCTGCACACTGAAAAATGTTCAGGTGGGCAGGAGGGTGAATGATTTGGCCCCTGCCCCTTGTTGGCACTGTGCTAATTTGGGTGCATGGGAGGCATATGCTGTGGTGTGTGCAGGCAGATCACTCCCAGCTTACTCTGTTCCTGGAGCAGCCGGGAAGCAGGCAAAGTCGTGGTGGGCTGCCAAGCCCCAGCCTGCTAGCTGGGTTGCTTGTCAGTCAGCACAAACCTCCTTGTCCCCTGCTATGGAGTAAACCACTCAGGTCTTCTCTTACCCTAGTAAGGGTTTTAAAGAGGCAGCTCTGTAGTTTAACTTTGGGTTGTGGCAGATTTGCCTGATTTTTGCCTGTTTGTGCTCCAGGTCTGCAAATAGTGCTGTGTTTGCTGTAGTGATTCCAACCTACGTGATTGGTGTTGGGGAGGTCTGTCTCCCTGCATCTCTGAACTCTGCACAGGACTGTTGTGCAAGAGGCTGTGCAATATATTCTTCCAAAACACCTGCTAATAAGAACACATGAAACAAAGGAGAGTTACTAATCATGGGTTTCCCGCAATGGCCTCTTTCATAGGGCGATCATTAATGACTGCTTCTCAACAGATAAATAAAATATCAGATGAAATGAAGTCAAATTCGTAAGCCTTTACTCAGGACCAACTAAGCTTCAGCCATTTGCTCTGAGCACTTCTGAAAGCTTGGCATGCATCACTTGATGGGAGAGCTGTGCCAGAGCTGTGAAAAACCGTATGTGTCTTTTATCTTGTCCGTTTCTCACTTACACTAACTGCATTTAAAGGTTTTTGGAGGGCCTGTCATTGTGCTTCCATGCTGCTAAGGCATGAACAGACAGTATTCTGTTCTTAAATCTTGCTTTGAAAAATCTCCTCATAATATGTCCCAGCAGAAACTCCTGTTGATTTGTCCTTTGGCTGTGGCTGGATGCCCAGTCATGGGCCAGAATCAAACTGGCTGAGTACCAACACAGGGCAATTTGCAGTTCCTTGTAAGTGACTTCAGTTCATTTTGGCCATGTCTCTGCAGCATTTCCCAGAGCCAGTCATCTGTGCTTCAGCTGACCGGGGTGCAAGCTGAACTCTGACTTGCCTGGCTGAGCCTGCCAAGAAAAACATTAGCTAAGCAGAAACAGTGTGTAGCTGGGGGCAGAGGTGAGCATGCATTATGTATCCACATCTTGATACAGAAAGGATGCAGCTACAATCAAAACAGGGTAAAGGGGACTGGGCAGACAGACAGCCGCCTGAGGTGACCCAGCAGTGCACGCCACACTGCTTGCTGAGAAAGACCTCTTTGTCTCCCTGCATTATGCCTGCCCGATTTGAGTGAGATGCAGAACAAATGCAAGAAATCCAACTGTATGGCCTTGATGACATTTTTCTGGTTTTTTTGACATTGCTTTTTTGTGCTTAGAAAGACCTTGAATGTGTCGGACCACAGTGTGTATCTCATCCCCAGCCAAACAGAGATATTTGTGCAGCTGGCTTGCAATTCCCCTCTCCCTAATGTGCAGGCAAGGGGATGGAGAGGATGTCTCAATGCTGGGGCACCTTTTTATCAAGAGAATTCACTGCTGAATCACAGCTGAGACACAGGATACAGAGGCCCAAGCTCTGTTTGGGAAGGAGTGGGGAGCAAAGGTGGGGAGGAGACCTTTAACCATCACCTACCCCTTTATCACTGGCTGTTGTCTGCCTGATTCCATGTCATACAACATGACAGTGTTTGTATTGCTTCCCTGTTCCCATTTAGATTAGAGATTGACCAATGTGACCTGTGTTTCCAGACCTTTGTTTGAACACAGCTAATGCAAGTCTTGCTCTGGTGGAAGCCCTGCTGTGTCCGTGAGTATCTCTCAAAAAGACAGGACAGTGTTTCTTATCAGTTTTAGAGAGATAGTCTTATCAGAATTCTTGTTTCACCTGGATATGCACAGTTCCTTTTTGTTCTGACAGGGCTTTACCACTGATTAATTCTGTCTGTACCATTAATCCTACCACAGGCTATAGATAACATGATAAAATGGACTTCAATTGCAGTTACCGCTGGTTTTCTTTTCAGACTGTCTTTCATATCTATTTCTGCACTGGCAAAATGGTTAGACTGTAGACCTTGAAGCTGTAAGACTTGTAAGAACATGAGAGATACAAGGTCTGTGCTTCCCTGAACTTTGGCAGCATTCAAAAGTTTGGATTTACAACTTGACTTCCCTATCTACCAAATGCCTGCTTGGCAAAATAGTTTTCCTGAGTGGCATGCCCTGATTCTGGATTCATCTTAATGCTGTTTGGTGGGGCTGTTTTGCAGTGAGTTCATGTCCAGCCAAGAGATATATTGGGTTTTGTCCTGAGGTAGTACAGTCCTTTAGCAGTCCTGGCTGCTGTTAGTGAGAGGCATTTCTAGCAATTAAGAAATGCTTATTTTACTTGCCCACTGTTCTGGTGTCACACAGTGACAACCTCTGAGCCCATTGGTTTTGGTCACTTTTGGAAATTTGGACTCTGTATGTTCAAAACTGCTCCCTTTACATGGGAGGGCAGAGATAAGCCCCATGTCTGAGCTCCAAACCTGTGTCTTACTTGAATCTTTCCCATTTCCCATTAACTGTACAGCTTTAAAAGTTAAACAGCAAGCCTCTTCAGACTCTCTTCTTTCTTTGTTACTCTCATGTTCATTCTTTTTCTGGCTTCCTAAGGGGAAACCCAAATGTCATTTGCAGTTCACTGCCATGTATTACAATTGTTGCCCCCGTCTTGCTCTCTTTCAGAGCATGAACCCAACCAACCAACTTCTTATCAATTTGACAGGCTGTGACTGTTGTCCTGGTGACCGGTGTAGTTGCACTATCATCGTGTACAGAAGGCAGGGAAAGAGATGCCTCAACCTGTGGGTGTAGCTGTGCATGCGCATGATACGCCAGGAAGTCGCTGGGATACATGAAGATAAGATCCAAGTCTTGGGCTACGTGTGTGAAAAATGAGGCAAAAACAAAACAGAGAAGCATGCAAAGTTAATAGCTATAAGAGGAGAAATGGGAATGTGTAGGAGTTGTAGATGCTTTGCTCTTCTCAGCATCTGATCTGTGTACCCGTAATTTAGTGCATTTGTATATGAGAGATGCTTGCCCGCCAGCCTGCTGTCTTTTTCTACCCACTCCCCATCTCCCATTTCTTACTTAGGTTTATGGACATGAGAAAGAATAGTGTTAGTAACACCTCTGAGTCACATTTGCCATCCAGACACACCATCCTTAACCCATTCATACACATGTCCCTGTACAATGTCGACTCCAGTTCACTAATTCCTCGTGTGAATTGATCAGACTGATTTTGCGGTGCCCTGTCACAGATTATCTCCTAGGCACTAACAGAAAGCCCTGCTTTGAGCAGCATATGATCCAAGTGGATGCCAAGAACAACAGATGGAAAGAGATGGGTAAGGGAGCACAAAGAAATAGAGAGATATCATTACTCAGCACATAGGCAACGGTGTCAGCACGCCAGCTGCCTACCGCTTGGGACAGCTTTTGCAGGCTAAGTGGTGTGTTCTTGTTTTAGTGTTGGCTGGTTCACTTAAATATCGTCAGCGTTCAGCCATTGAAGAAAAGGTGGGATGGGGTAACCTGGATAAAACTGGATCCTGGCTGTTACAGGCTATATGTCAGTCAGGGGATAAGAACTTGTTCAGGTTTTCTGCATATGAAAGGAATGTAAGAAACCTGCCAGTTTCTGTGCTGAGCAGGGACAGCTTTAACATGCTGGGGTGAAAGCGGGGCACAGCCCAGAACATGTTGCCCATGTGTGGTGGTGTGGTTGTGTAGCTGTGGTTGCTACGAGGAGGGAGTGTCTGGTTAATCCCCAACCCCAGTAATCTTCCATGGCTAATTGAGAGTTGAATACATTTGGTTTACTGCAAAAGCTGGCCTTACTGAACACTCATTACCACAGACATCAACTGAGTCCTGCTCTAGACCCAAAATCATGGGAAGATACATCTGATCTGCTGCCTGTCTTGTTTTGCTTGCCTATCTATGGCCTTAGCATTGCCCTTGCCTGAGCTTGCTTATCTGTGACCTCCAGAGGCCTTTCAGCAGATAAGATGCTCTACTAGACCTGCCAGCTCTCTGCTCACATCTGTGTATCTCCAAGCAGCCTGTGTGGGGTGAATTTCTGTGGGACACATTGTGGGGAGGAGCTGATGCAGCAGATCTGTCTCCTCTAAGGCGATGCTTCAGGGCAGGCTGTGTTTCAGGGGTGGTCAGTAGGGAGAAGGGATAGGCCTGTGAACAACATGAGTCAGACCCTGTGCCAGGGCTCCTGGAGGGATGTGACATATCTCCTGGATGAAGGATCAGAGCTCTGATGACTAACAAGGAAAGGATAAAGATGTTGTGGGATGGAGCTTCTGTCATGTAAAATTCATGATACTGGCAGGCCATTTTAAATAAAACATTACCCTCTCTGAAAAAGACACAAAGTCTTTCATGCTTGTCAAAAAAAAAAAAAGGGAAAGAAAAAAAAGAAGGGCTATTTAAAGAATCAGTCTGATGTGACCTTGAATTTGCTCTCCCAGCAACTTTGCAGTGGAATGGCATGTGCACGTTCTCATGAGGAAACGTAGCAGGAGGGGAACATCACATTCCTGAGAGGAGGTGAGGACTGGTGCTTTCTATTTAGTGGGAGCAGAGGAGTTGCATTTCTCACCTCTGCAGCAGCCTCAGCCTCTGTGGTGGCTCGATGAGCTTCAGTGACACAGTGCATGGTGCTGGTGGCCAACAGAGCAGACCTGCACCAGCTCTCGTGTTACGGCTCAGCTGATAACCTGGCTCCCATTACACTTCTCCTTCTGCTTTCTGTTGGCCTGCCTGCCTGTGCCTATTGTCCTGCACTCATTAGTACTTCTTCTGTTACCGAGAGCAGACTGTTTTTCTTGGGCCACTCATAAGTTTCCTGGGTGTTGTGTATACTGACATTTCTAACGGACTTGTGAAAGTCCCATGTACCTTGAGCTAGTAAGGCATGATTGTGTAGCCCTTCCTTTGTAACATGAGTTCTTCCTCTTATGGGAAGCCCGGTAAATGAAGAAGATGCTATCGTTTGTTGCTGTTACAAAAGACTATTGAGCTAAATGGGAATCTGGCACCAACTCCTAACTGCATGATTTCAGGAGGGTAACTGAAATGGTTGGAAGTCCGTTTTTCTGCTAATGAGTACAGTGAATAATTGCTGCTTTCAGTTCTTTTTTGAGGCAGTATTAGCTTGCTGGTTTTAAAAAATGAGATAGAAAGTGCATGTGTCAGTGACTGACAAAGTATGCTTTATTTGTGCATTAATTGGTCCAAAAAAATATAGTTACAGAAAATTCAGTGAAACATCACATGCAAGGTGTTGCAAGTTATAGGTAGCAGAAGTGACCTGTGTGTGAGTATTACATGGGGGATGGAAAAGAAAAAAGGAAAATTTGGGGTATAAGAAGCTGTCTTCATGATGTTTATTACATACCACTGGTTTTCCTGAGAGCAATCTTAGAATCGTGTGGCATATCAATGTTAGATGATGACACAGTGACACATGGCTAACCCTCCAGGCAGCTTGCATCACCCACACCATTCAAGCAAGATTGCAGGATATGTCCCATGTTCTTAAAACACTTCTGGGCATCCCTGAATATCATTCTCACTCTCTCCCTCTTAAACAGAGCTGAGTTTTCATGCTGTGCCATGTGTAAGAGGCCCTACCCTTTCCCTGTTCATTTGTGCTGTTTCTGTTTGCAGGAGAATCTGCAGTTGCCTACCCTGCATGGAGGATGTAGTTTGTGTAGCTCCATCTGCAGTGTGTACCTAATGCTCTGTGGCAGGATGGTCTTGCTGGAGAAAGCAATGTTATTTGTAGTTTGGAAGTTGAATTGGGTCTGGTCCAGTTGTCTTTGCCTCTATCTGTGTTGTTTCTTTTGAAGTTCTTGTTTCTTTTTGCAGATACCTAGACGATATCAGCAGTTAGCTCAGGGAGGCTGGATCCTGGCATGGGAGCTTCAGGGCTTGAGATCAATTACAAAGGAGAGATGAAAACAACTTTTCTGAATTTGAGTGTCTCCAGTGTGTAAGTGGATTGCCAAAGAGGCACTTGAGACCCCAAAAAGACCCTAGTCCTGGGCAGAGGCATGAGACAGAGTCAGAAGAATTGTCAGCAAACACCAGGCTCTCCTAGCCAGCTCAACCCCCTCCCTTTCCCTGTGGCAGGATCAGCCTGTCTCCATGCTTTCATCCTCTCAGCATCAAATTATGATGTTCCTGCTCTGTTTTGAAGCCAAGAGACAGAGGTGTTTCCCAGATGTGCAGAAGCCTTGGGCTAGTGGTGGAGTCCTGGGGAGGTGGGCAAGCAGGATTCCCATGTGGAACTTCCCTCCTGCTGAGATAACCTGCCCTAAGAAGCAACTTTTGCTGGTTCCATTGCCGGATATGCAGCCCATCACTGCAAGTGATTCATCAGCCACACAGCTGACCCTGTGCCCCCACAGATCACATACATCTGTTTTTTTTCATGTGAGTGGAAAGCCAGAGGACCTGTAGGCCTGGAGACCGGTTTCTGACACTCTTTGTTGTCATTAATTTCCAGAGATTAAGGCTGTGGCTCGCTGCTCTGACATAGATATATCTATGTCTGAGCTACTCATTCTGAATTCCTTCTATTGCTGATGGAGAGAATTAGGCAGTGCTGGTATGCTGCTTGACTGGCCTATTTTAGATGTCTGCATTCACTTGAGAGGAAGGGCACTGCCTGTGCCTGTGTCTTTTTTCTGCTTATAAAAGCTGTCTGGGTTATCCACAGAGATGTAAACTACTTCATACTGGCCACGTACAGCTAGTGAAAGGATTCACATCCCCACAACTTAAAGAGCCTCTTAACTTGAGCACTGGGCAAAGACTGGATTCCCCAGATAGGCTAGGTGAAAACCAAGAAGGTAGAGACCTCTATACAAAGGGTCTCTGCTCGATCCTGACTGTAGGGGCCTCCCCCTGTCACGGGGATTCAACCTGACTCGTTTATCCCATGGATATCCATTAAGGTTGTGACCACTAACCTGCTGAATGAAAAGCTGGTACAGAATTGCATTGCCTCCCTTTATTTTGTTTGTGTCAAATAGTTAAGAAGAGGTCTCAGAAAATAAACTTAAATCTCTGGACAAGTTTTCTGTTGCTGAACTGGGCTTTTCTGCTGACTTTTGTCTGGTTGCTGTGGTCTTCGGTTTACCCTTTCAGGAGTTGTGAATATCTGTGTTTTCTATCATCCTTCAAACTCTGCCTGATTTCCCATCTCCTGTAGCCACCTGGCATCTTCTGTGCTCCATATCCTTGTCCCTTGTTACCTGTATCACTGTCTTGCCTTTTCATAGTCTCTTTGTGCCCATGTCTGGTTTGATTTGCTCACTGCTGCCCATGCTTTGCTTTGTTGACTGCGAAGGAATGTGACCTGCAAGGTCTTCTGATTGAGTCTAACTTTGCCTTTTAAAAAGAAGCCCGAGATCTCAGCAACCTACCCAAAGAACTAAAAAAAACAACTGCCCCAAACAAGACAGACAGGAAAATATACAGTGGATCTTTCCGTGTGCTCATAAATAAAAGTCAGACCATCACATGGTTTCCTAAAAATAACACCCGTAGCAAGTGTTTTGGTAGGAATAATACTGACCAAGTTTGCATGTTGCCTACATGCAAAAAAAAAATTTGGTTAGGAAAACCCTGAGTCCTGATGCAGTGTTTGCATTTATTGAACCAGATCTGAATTGAGAGGTGGTTAAACATATCTTATAGTCTCTTCTTGGTAGCCCCCTCTGCAGGTTTCAGAGGAGGGGGGATAGGAGAATGCTTGCTGGCAGCGTGGCCTGCAGCAGTTGCTTGCCATCTGCATGGGCTGGATGTGTGGGTTATGCCTGTGTGGTACAGTCAGTGAGGGTCCACATGAACAGAAATCCTCTTCTGTAGCCTCAGTCCGGGATGTTCATGTCTGGATAATGGGTAGGATATCTCTATGATCAGTGGACCTGTATTTGTGTATATGAATTTAGCTTTCTGTCTTCATCTGTGGGGCAGATCAAAACATTTTGGTATTGATGGAAACCACTCTTGAGTGCCCAGCTCCTGCCCACGCCAGGGACTCAGTCTGTGTCCCTGTCCTTGTCCCTGTGGCCAGAACTGCAGCATAGCCCTGGAGTAGGAGCTGTACCTTGGGGGACATGAGTGAGTTGCCCCTACCTACCAGCTCCTTCTCATCCTGCCTGAGGGGATATTGCTCAGGTGTCACTGCCCTTGACCTGGAGCTGCTCTCTGTGGGCAGCTCAGCACCAGTGACAATGGTGACAGCAGCCATCAAGGGCTAGTGTCAAGCTGGCATCCCTCACAGTGATGGACATTCTTGGATTTCCTGGAGATCATCCTT